GTTTATTTTAAACATAAAAGTAAACTTACACTGAGGAATAAATATTGTCTAGATACAATCGGCTGTTTGGAAGTCAATAGCGTTGTCGCCCCATTATTTGTTGATGGTATAGTCGGCCCCGTGGCAGTGTTGTTACGCAGTTCTTGAGACTCCGTTGGTCGACGTCGGCAACGGCACGGCTTCGGTATCGGCATCAAGACGAAAACGATTCGTCCCCAGTTTGTTGACACCGCGCTTCCGATTCTCACACCTTTTGTCTCGACTCGCATAGTGTGTCCTGTCGAGTGCCTCGTGTCCTTGACGATCGGGGATAACATCAATCTCCGTTCTCCGATTTGATTATTCTGATTGGCTCCGCGTCCCTTTTTCCCGTTCCTCGATTGGTCCCTCAACTGTTTCTAAGCGAAAGACCCCTGTTCGAGTCACGAGAAAAATCCGCTTTGAAGAATCTACTTGACACCATCCGTTAACTCTGGTTGGAAGTGTTGATGGAGCTTTGGAACTTGCGCTCCTATTCTTTCCCGTGCCGCGCTCAGACAGGCTATCCATGTAAAGTTTTTTTCCACGTCTGTAAAGCCGAAATAGAAGCCAGTTTCGTTTTAAAAATCATCCTGGAAAGCACCCCTAGACAAGCGAGCCGAATTGGAAAAATAACTTTTTCTACGGGCCGAACGAAAGGCTGCGCTAGTAAGATTTTGAGGTTATGCGAGATCTCATTGTGGTGTCATCCCGTAGATGATTACACATACAGTTTTCACATTATCATGCTTTATCAACATTCTACGCTATAATTACGAGATTTGTAATGGAGTGTTAACTCTAAACGCACGGTGAGTTGTTGACCTTTATTTCTTTTTTAGGCGTCAGAATTTTTCATCGAGATATTCGGACTTCACTAGCTAATATTAATATTTAAAGATTGATCGCGGACGACATAGATACATTAGACGGGTTGGATTTGGCCCGCGGGCCGTATGTTGGCCGTGTATGCCCTAGACAGATGGCCATGGCCCAAGTGTTGCGTTGTGATAACAAAACAAACGAAACGAAATGTAAAAGAATAATTGATTTATAGAAATTTAATCGAAATTTACAAAAGCAATGTACGACATGACGTACTGTACGTTAGAAAGATTTGAAAGTAAGTACCGAATTTCTTAGCAATTGGTCGAACAGCCAAGAAATGTATATCGAACAAACAAAGAAACATCCTCATTTATAATCGCACACGTCGTTCTTTATAGCTACTCACGAAAAAAAAAATCCCAAAATAAAATTGATTGACACGCGTAAAGCGTAGCACGCGCTACGTTTATCATTCCGTAAGCACGATTTTTATTGTTGCATAAACAAAAAATTTTAAGAATTGTTTTTCAACTATTGTTGAAGCGATTGAATTGTTAAAGCGAATTTTCGAAAGCGATTTTGTTGAAAAAAATGGAGTGTTTGAGTAAGTTAAATGGTTTTTAATGTATAATTATATTAAATCTTTTATAACGTGTTGGTAATAAATACAAAGACACGCATTTAATAGTAATTTTCTATGGGATATTTAAAAATCCGAATAAAAATGTTATACGATGGAACGATATTTAACTTTGCATTCATTTTCTGTCGAAGACAATTACAGCATTAAACGTATTTTCTGCAAATAAATAAAAATTTGTTATTTTATTTCTGCGTCTTTTCGAATATTTAAATATTCGGTTCCATTAAGATGAATAAAAAGAAGCAAACAGAAATTACAAAAACAGTTTTACAATAAGATAAGATATTCAAAAATAAGATTGGAATCTGTTGTTACTTTAAAATAATCTTATGAAAAGTTGTCACAACTGTAATCTAAAGGCTAATGTATCAGCGTTTAATCTATACTGACGACTTGATTAACGATTTGTTTACCGAGTAATGCTATATTTTATATTTACAAAACGTTTTGGTCTATTACATTATCTATCGATATTATTGAATAAACAAACCGATCTTCACCGCCAGATAAATGCAAACAATGCTCATTTATAAGAAAAAAGTTGTAACGAAAGAACAACAAATGTGGCAATTATTTTTCATTGGTTAAAATTATCCATTGATTTCCCTTTACCTTTTATCGTTGTTTCTCGAGTATAAAGATATAAATGAATATTTGATTATTTACATTTTTAAAGTTAATCTGAAAATTGAATATTTTAAACTCATTTTATTAAAACTTTTATTTAAATTGTATCAATGAATGTAAAGTAAGCTTCTGAGTGTACGCTAATAAATATCCGTTTATTTACTTCGACAGAGAAAAACTCTTCATTAATATTACATTTTCAGTTGAATTTATGATTGAAACAATTTACACTTTAATAATTTAATAATTCCAAATCACAATGCAATAGTTATGCTTTTATATCACGTTTAATTTAAGAAATTTCTAAGCAGAAATTAATTATTTTTTTTTTAATTTTAATATTTATTTTTGTAAATTTGCTATAGAATAAAGTTTCAGAATATGTTTCTACAATAACAACTTCATATGTTTATTTGGTGTAAAGTGTTTGTTGTTTGCTTTGATTTTCTTTTTCAAATTCATATATAATTTTTGAATTCAGGCGAAGAAAGTGTTACGAATTTCTGTGTTTATTGAGTTTACTTTTATTCTTTAGATTGCGATAAGAGAGAAGAATTTATTAATTTCAACGTACAAGTTTCGGGTGACGAAAAAAGAGTCACCTTGGAGGATTCTGTCGAGACCATAGTCCACATCATCATGGACCTTGCAGCACGGAAGAGAAAAGAAGAATCAAAATCGTCTTCTTCTGTAAGTGACAATTCGATGGAAATAATTTAAAATAATTTAACAATTCTTATCATTTAAAAGTTTACAACTGAAAAACCCACGACAACCGTGCACAATCTTATAAAATGTGTTATTTAAAATAGCCACAAATTGTTTATTTATAAATAAATAAATATTTTCTGAGTTAATAAAAAACACTACGAGTACTGTAGGATTATTATATGGTTAATCAGAATTTTTCACTTTTTACAGGATTTTGCTGAAAAATTAAGCACGGAAAAAGAAGATTCGATGGAATTAAATAAAACAGGAGAAGTAATAGAGGAAGGTGAGGTCACAAAAAGATTATAAAAAAATTTTATGATTCATAAAATAGTTTCTTTAAAAATTATTAAAAAATAATTTAATGTTAAATTCATTGTGTTAAAATCTGTTTAAATTAAGTAACATAATATTAATTATCCATCTACAGTTTGTCAGGTGTATTGTAAGTCGTAGTTTATTATATTCGAAACAATTCAAAATTAGCATTAATTTCAAAATGTTTATTTCTGAAAGGATTCCATTTATTTCGTCAAAAGTACTAGAAATAATTACTTTTGTTGCTTAAACTTCTCAATTCCTCGCGTTGTCAAGCGAAAACTCAATTTAATTACGTGTATATAATTGCAAAGGGCTTATTATGAATAACATCCAATATATAACCACAAAATGAAACAAACATTGAAATTAACTTTGAAACAAGATATAATCTGCGAAACACAAACAGAAAAACACTGTACACTTAATATTCTGTTTATTATATGTTTGATTTTTTAATTCAATCAGAATGGGAAAAACCTGAACTTAAGTTATATTTATATTCATAGCGATTACATTTATTTAACGTACTGTTTATACATGTGTACTTCTTTGTCATTTTTTTATAGTTTAAATATTATATGTGTATATATTTATAAACTTTTCAATCCAGCTTAATTTGCGAGAATAAATGAATATTGTAATACGTACAAATTTTTCACATCAACACGAATTTTTCACAATGTTACATTTGTTTTTTTTAAATAAACTTAGTTATAGTTAATGGCAGAACTATGATATTAAATTACAAAATAATTGTAATGTAAATTAAAAAAATTATAACTTTTTAGTCTCCAAAGTAATAATCAAATTTGATGAAGAGAAGACGGGTGATGACGATCGATATTCGTGGGAAAGCGAATCGGTTAAAGATGACGATGATGATAAAGTAAGATAATATTTTCTAATTTTCCTTATTTTACGCTTATAAACCCATTCTCGTTCTTCGCTAAGCTGTTTTGAATAATGTTTTGGTATTTCAAAATTTTCGTGTCTAAAATAATTTTATACATTTTAAACGATTGGTTTTACAAAGTTAATATTGAAATTTAAAAAAAAATGAANGTAATACGTACAAATTTTTCACATCAACACGAATTTTTCACAATGTTACATTTGTTTTTTTTAAATAAACTTAGTTATAGTTAATGGCAGAACTATGATATTAAATTACAAAATAATTGTAATGTAAATTAAAAAAATTATAACTTTTTAGTCTCCAAAGTAATAATCAAATTTGATGAAGAGAAGACGGGTGATGACGATCGATATTCGTGGGAAAGCGAATCGGTTAAAGATGACGATGATGATAAAGTAAGATAATATTTTCTAATTTTCCTTACTTTACGCTTATAAACCCATTCTCGTTCTTCGCTAAGCTGTTTTGAATAATGTTTTGGTATTTCAAGATTTTCGTGTCTAAAATAATTTTATACATTTTAAACGATTGGTTTTACAAAGTTAATATTGAAATTTTAAAAAATGAATTTGAAAATATTTAAATATTACTTTGAAAATGGGCATATTTACGATAAGACAAATTGAGATATTTCATTCTTCGAAAATTCACTGTTACAGCGGAATGATGGCATTCGATTAAAAACATTACATAATAGCAGGTTATCGGACAGCACAAAATATGTTTTAAATGGTTTTCTATAGTGCGAGTTTAAATCTTTGGTGTATTTTTCGCCAAAATTGATTGGTCGGCAGATTACTGTTTGATGAATAAAACAGTTTGTCATTACAAACATGTTAAAAATTTAACATATATTTTCAATTGGTGTCTACTTTACCAATGAAATTGTGTTATTTCGTACCATCCGAGTATCGCTATAAACGTAATGATGTCAGNCATGGAGCAAGAAGACCCGATGGAATTAAATAAAACAGGAGAAGTAATGCAGGAAGGTGAGGTCACAAAAAGATTATAAAAAAATTTTATGATTCATAAAATAGTTTCTTTAAAAATTATTAAAAAATAATTTAATGTTAAATTCATTGTGTTAAAATCTGTTTAAATTAAGTAACATAATATTAATTATCCATCTACAGTTTGTCAGGTGTATTGTAAGTCGTAGTTTATTATATTCGAAACAATTCAAAATTAGCATTAATTTCAAAATGTTTATTTCTGAAAGGATTCCATTTATTTCGTCAAAAGTACTAGAAATAATTACTTTTGTTGCTTAAACTTCTCAATTCCTCGCGTTGTCAAGCGAAAACTCAATTTAATTACGTGTATATAATTGCAAAGGGCTTATTATGAATAACATCCAATATATAACCACAAAATGAAACAAACATTGAAATTAACTTTGAAACAAGATATAATCTGCGAAACACAAACAGAAAAACACTGTACACTTAATATTCTGTTTATTATATGTTTGATTTTTTGATTCATTCAGAATGGGAAAAACCTGAACATAAGTTATATTTATATTCATAGCGATTACATTTATTTAACGTACTGTTTATACATGTGTACTGCTTTGTCATTTTTTTATAGTTTAAATATTATATGTGTATATATTTAAAAACTTTTCAATCCAGCTTAATTTGCGAGAATAAATGAATATTGAAATACGTACTGTACAAATATTTCACATTAACACGAATATTTCACAATGTTACATTTGTTTCTTTTTTTTAATAAACTTAGTTATAGTTAATGGCAGAACTATGATATTAAATTACAAAATAATTGTAATGTAAATTATAAAAATTATAACTTTTTAGTCTCCAAAGAAATAATCAAATTTGATGAAGAGAAGACTGGTGATGACGATCGATATTCGTGGGAAAGCGAATCGGTGAAAGATGACGATGATGATAAAGTAAGATAATATTTTCTAATTTTCCTTACTTTACGCTTATAAACCCATTCTCGTTATTCGCTAAGCTGTTTTGAATAATGTTTTGGTATTTCAAGATTTTCGTGTCTAAAATAATTTTATACATTTTAAACGATTGGTTTTACAAAGTTAATATTGAAATTTAAAAAAAAATGAATTTGAAAATATTTAAATATTACTTTGAAAATGGGCATATTTACGATAAGACAAATTGAGATATTTCATTCTTCGAAACTTCACTGTTACAGCGGAATGATGGCATTCGATTAAAAACATTACATAATACCAGGTTATCGGACAGCACAAAATATGTTTTAAATGGTTTTCTATAGTGCGAGTTTAAATCTCTGGTGTATTTTTCGCCAAAATTGATAGGTCGGCAGATTACTGTTTGATGAATAAAACAGTTTGTCAGTACAAACATGTTAAAAATTTAACATATATTTTCAATTAGTGTCTACTTTACCAATGAAATTGAGTTATTTCGTACCATCTGAGTATCGCTATAAACGTAATGATGTTAGCCTAAACTAATTAATTTTTAGATGGTTATTATATCATAGTATTTGTTTTATATATTCACGTAAGGATTTAACATACAGAGTGACCAATTTAACACATTATAAAAATTTAAAGAATCTGTCAGATTGTCTCTCGGTATGATAAACCCTTATATAAATAACCTTTGTAATTATAAATCAAATACTATGATTTATTATAAAGGAAGAGTTAAAAGTACGAAATAATGTAATAATCTTAATCTTTGTAGTTATCATTTTCTAGTTTACCAATATATTTACCCTCTTTGCAGAAAACAACAAAATGTACGGACATCTTTCGTTATTTATTTATAAAACTGCCATCCGTCATCTTTTCCTGCTGGAAAAGAAAAAAATAAATGCTCGACAATGAAAAAGGTACGTAAAAGATTGCGTAAATTTTAATTATAACATGACTCTTATTTAATAAAAGTAAATCGGTGTAAGATTATATTTATTTATTTCTGCACATTTATCGTAACCTTTATTAAAGGTAACGATAAATGTGCAGAAATAAATATTCACATAAAATGTAATTCACTTTAACACCAAGGTATTCTACTACTGAATAATTTACTTAAAACCTATTGCCATAATCGTGAATACAAATTCATTCTGTCATTTGTCGGTTCGAATCAACGTCTGAATAACTGTTATATCTAAAAGAATTTCTTTATCTTGTTATCACTGTACTTTCATTTTGTATAAAGTACTGTACCTGTGACAATAAAACACGCTGCTCTTACTCCTAAAGTTCAGACGAGTTAATATCGACTCAAAATAATTTAAAAAGACAAATTACAATAAAACGGTTTATTATCCAACTATCAGAAATGTCACAACGTGCCAAGGAAGAGAGGAAGGAGCAATTAAATAATTATAATTTTAAAGGATTAAAAATATATATATAAAAATGGGGAATATCGAACTTCTGAAATCGCTGCGTGTGTGCTAAATTTGGATAATCCGTGCTTCTCGCATGGACAACTGTATGTGGCCAGCTCACGCGTCAAAAAGCTTCTGATTTATTCGTGTACGCACCAGACGGAAAAACAAAAACAATAATTTTCGATTAATTTGAATTTTTTATTTTGATACAACAGGGTAGCCGATGTGCATGCCAGTCAATCAAAGGAACATGCACCAAAGAGGGGAAAATTCCCTAAATTGAAGAAACTTTTCAGATTCTTCTTTTGGTACGTATCTTTAACTTATTTATTATAATATGTCTTTACCAATTATTCTGAATTTAATTAATTGTTGCAATTCCATGGCAGAACTCCGTCCCTGTGGAGAAGTTCGAACTTGCAGACTAGATCTGCTGTACATAGTTCATTGTACATATCATCATCATCATTTTCATCTGTACATATTCATCGTCATTCATTTTTTTATTTATCGTGATTATTTCAAAATTTATAAAATTCTGCATTTCGGCAATCATCATTTAAAAAATCCAACTTATGACACTTCTAACACCGATTGTGACTTATATCTATTGGACTGACATTATGATACCGGACATACCAAATGTATTTTGCACCAATCTGAGACACATCCTGGCTCAAAACAAGTTACCTCTGAATTGACTAACGTATTATGACACAACGATTATGGACATACCAATTGTGACTAACGGAAAAAGACAATCGACTCCACACACACTCGACATCCCAATTTGTGACAAACTAATTGTATGCAATGTAAAGATCACTGATTAACTATAAATTTATTTTTCATTGATTCCATTATGAAAGTAATTGACTGTATAATAAACAAAATAATAAGATAAATAAAAATAGAATTTTTATAATAATTACATTGTCTCTTTATTGTTTAGAAGCTATTTTATTTGACAATATTATTCAATTTATTTACCCAACGTTTCTAATGTAAACAGATTTCGTTTATCGGTCATTTTTAAAACTAAAACATTAATTTGAAACAACAAAATATTAATTATTATTATTTATTATATATACATTATTAATAAGTTATGTGTAACAATTTCACATACTTTATGAACCGGAAACAAGTATCAAAACATCGATACATCAAAACAATTATTTTGCTAAGAGATATCAGCAAAAACTTATTTTTCTATTCGGCTGTTATATATAACAGAGGAAAAGTGTGGTGATCGATCCTTCGAAGATTTTTACATTTTTGGACTTGGGAATCAAGAAATGCAAAAAATTTGGGAGTTTTTCTAAAGTATATGTTTTGACGTTAGTCTGTTTGGAGGGTGGCACGATTTTGTTCACCCTGTTTGAAGCTTAATAACTTCTGTGCCTTTAGTCGAAAATTTCTGAAATTTTTCAGGGAGATTTGTGTATTATGAGATTAGAGCTATTAAATTTTGCAAGTTAAAGGTCAGGGGTGAAAAGATAAGTAGGGTCGTGTGTCATATCTCGAATGGGATCAAACTTATAATATACTCTGCGTTAAGCAAAATTGAAAGTAGCATTTTACAAATCATGAGTTTTACAATTTTACAATTTTACAAAAGGCTTGATTTGTCTACACTTTTACACAAATTCCATGTATTAATTTGTAATCTATACCAACTTTTCTGGCTAACCCGAAATTCAAACGACAGTTTACTGTTTTTTCCCGACTTTTATGTTTCTGTATATATTTAACGGTATGTGTGTCTGTACGTATAAGCGTGTAAACTAAGTTCCTAAAAATAAGTTTAAAGTTTGGCATTAAAAATAGCTTTATAATATGTATTTTAAGAAAAAACTCATATTATCACATGGAAAACACTGAAAAATCTCTTAAAAATTAGATGAGATGAGAAGCAATTTTATTAAATTAATTTATGTTTTTCTGCTATAAAATGACTTTATTATTTGCGGCATAGATTCTCATTAAGTAAACGTAAAATGTAGACAAAGGTGAAACATGTAAAATTTAAATAATAAGTTCTGTAATTAAAATTGATTTAATAACGCTTTTTTAAACATTTTTACAGATGAAATTAAGCTGTTGCAGTTATTACAGAAACGCTTAATGGATTCAAGCTTAATTATAGAAGTTTTTGTTTGATAAATTTATTTTTAGAAGCCGTTTTTATAAACGGAACCAAAAATCATTGTTCTTTAAAAAATATTTTTAAAGCCGTTTTTATAAACGGACTCATAAATAGTTTTTTTTTTAAAGTTATTTTTAGAAGCCGTTTTTATAAACGGACTCATAAACACTTCTTTTTTTAAAGTTATTTTTAGAAGCCGTTTTTATAAACGGACTCATAAATAGTTGTTTATCTAAAGTTATTTTTAGAAGCCGTTTTTATAAACGGACTCATAAATAGTTGTTTATTTAAAGTTATTTTTAGAAGCCGTTTTTATNTGGAGGGTGGCACGATTTTGTTCACCCTGTTTGAAGCTTAATAACTTCTGTGCCTTTAGTCGAAAATTTCTGAAATTTTTCAGGGAGATTTGTGTATTATGAGATTAGAGCTATTAAATTTTGCAAGTTAAAGGTCAGGGGTAAAAAGATAAGTCGGGTCGTGTGTCATATCTCGAATGGGATCAAACTTATTAAAGATTTTACTTGTTATTACCAGTTACAATATTTATGCAATTTATTTCTACCCTCAAAATTAAGCTTTTTTATTTTTATTTAGAAAAGAAATTAAAAATTGTATCACAAAACTTTTTGAAATACAAGCTTTATTTATTCATTAATAGTCAATTTAATTTTTTATTCAAACAATTTACTGTTTATTGAATGTGTTGCATTGAATAGGTAGGCGTATTACTGCTAATCCAATTATTTCTTCTGACATGTTCCTATTAAAAGGTTTTCCATATCCTTCTGGAAGAATAGTTTCCTTCCATATATATCAGCAGTATTATATACGCCACCGCAGAAAATAACAGTATTCAGGACCAGTTCTTTGAGTTTTAAAATCAATCAGCGAAATTACGAAATGATGTTTTAATAATAAATTTTAGCATATATAAAGTATGCAGTTCATTTGGTCACTTACAAGTAAAAAGACAAGTATAAAATATTTATCATTATGCCTGTAACGTTACGCAGCCGTTTATATTTATATATAGTTTATCTATAAATATATTCGCTGTGTTCAGTTTTCTCTTTATCATTTTACTTTTAGAAACGTTAATTCTACTCTACAAATAGTTTCTAGAAGCAGTAAAAAATGCATTAGAACCTACAAATTTAATATAAAGTTTCGTGTGATAAAATGAATTTATGAAAATTGGGAAAAAAGCTTTGTTGAAAGCACAAACAAAAAACAAGTATATGGAATATACCTAAAATTTATTAAACAATTCTTGAACTAAGAAATATTCTAAAATTTGATTTAATTGTCAGAAATGTATTAAATTTGTGACTTGTAAAACTATTCACTTACAAATTGAATAAAAACATATGTAAAATCTATGATTAAAAGTAATTTGTTTGTAACTAAGAGAAAGGTTGCAGATTTGTTCTGTGTAAGAACAACATTAAATAAGTTCTAGTCTAAATATTCGATGCTCTTTAAACAAAAGTATAACCGAACCAATCTCTAGCCGAGTAGAGTGGGAGTGATTTCTTTGAAATACTAGATGTAATAAAGACAGACATTTTTCCAGTTCAACGAGAGTTCCATAATACCACCTTCTCCTCTATATATATATATAAATGGTCGTGTTTGTCCCTATACAGTGGAACCCCGGTTAACGAACGTCCTGGTTAACGACCAAATCGATTAACGAACTTTTATTTTGCAAAAATTTTGTCTCGGATAACGAACGTAATGGTATTTTGTGTCAAATTTTAGTTGGTGTTAATTAAGCATGCGCGAGTTAAGCTTGCTTTTCCGAGTGTTTGTGCTATACTTCTTTTTTCAGTTTTGTGATTTATATATTTAATCAATAATCCAAGAAAGAAAAAAGTCATAGTGGCAATAGAAAACGACAACGCAATATAAACGACAATGCGCTATCGCATTTGAGAAAAATTTTGATTAAAAGAGTAAGACAATCAACTTTAAATCAATTTCTTGTTCCTTACGGAAGGAGTTTGTTTGTTTGTTAAGCTATGGCAACGCAACACTTGGGCGATCTGCCTAGGAGAATGCCTTCTGGGAGGTGTTTTTAAGGGAAACTGGCCCCTATTTAGGCATTACAGACGTGGAGAAAACCCGGAACACTCCACGTGGCCAGCCCGTCTGAGCGAGGTGCGAACCCACGAACGAACTCCCCGTGTTCAGGGTACTAAGATCGCTTAGCCACTCGTTGGCTTTCTTACCGAAAGAGACTTCGACTCGAAGAATCTTCCGATGAAGTGCTACCCGTTATTTTTTTGGAGGGGATTCCCCTTCTAAGCATTAAGGTTCGTATATCTCCACTTTTCTTCCACCAACTACAACAAACGAAGGTATGTATAGTACAGTGCTAGTTTATTAAACAAAGTTTACATGTTTGTTGCTGTAATGATGGATACTACGTTTTCTTACATTTTCATCAAAGAAAATTACTGTATATTACAAATAAAATCACAAAAATTTCGGAGACTAGAACGGATTAATTGCATTTGCATTAATTTCTATGGGAAAAATTGCTTCGATTAATGAACAATTCGGTTAACGAACGGAGTCGCGGAACGGATTAAGTTCGTTAACTGGGGTTCCACTGTATTTCACTCTGCAGCTAAAACTACACATCGCGCATGAGTTGTGTGTGGTAGTAGCCCCAAGTCTCCCATCGTGCACTATGGTGGTTGCGTCTCGATAGCTATTCGCTTGTGCCAACGATCGATCTGGCATCTTGCGGTATTAGCGCGAACTACGTAATGGCGGCTGCTATGGGTATAAAGTCTGTGGTCTGTTAGAATTAGAAAGTGTTCAACTTACAATGGTAAATAATAAGTATTACTGTGAATTTGGATGTAAGTCTAAAGGTTCATCGAACTCAGTACATATGCGCACATTCCCAAAAAATAAATTACTGCGAAAAAAGTGGAAAATAAAACTGAAGTTATCACTTCAGTTTCACCAATACCTAATTTTACTGAGCTTAAAATTCCTTTATTTTTAGAAACGTACTCAACCTATCTAATATAGGCCATCGTCAGGTTTAATATTATAAATGTTCCAAAATTGAACGTACTGTTTATGAATATTTTACATATTTAAATTTTTTTTTAAATTTAACTTTAAAATAAATTTTAAAAAGTGTGTACTGTATATTAAATAAATAATTAAAAAGTAAATAAACAAATAAAGTATAGAAAACAGAGCTAACTAGAAAGAAACATGATTTAAGGTTTTTTAAGTTCCATTCTTTTTTCTATTATATATTTCCATACTGTTGGAAGCGCATTAGCATCCCTTTTTATTTTACTTTTATAAATTTTTACCTTTTCCATCTCAAACGCAGTGGATGGAGAGTGCACCGTTTTAATGACTTTTGCCTCTTTCTATTCTACAACTGCTCCTTCAGTTTGCATCATAATCGCTAATATTGTGTTGTTGTGCCCTTTGTCAACATTGTATCTATGTTCTCGCAGATGTACAGTACCACCAGGTTTCTTCTAGTCACACCCACATAATCTTTTTCAATTCTTAACTGTTGATTTTCAAATAGTATTTTATATACCCCAGCTTTCTCTTCTTTTTTTTACGCTATCTTTATCGTTCCGTAGCAAGCTATAGATATTG